GTAAATTAAACTGGAACACAAAATAAAATAATGAATGGAAAATACTCCCAAGTTAAGTTATTGAAAGCTATAGTATAATAAAGATTATTGTAACAAACGATGGGTGCTCAAGAGAATCACCACCAATTATTGTTATAAAACTATAGGTAAGCTTTCACAGATAATTAACTCTTCGTCTACATGAACGAAAGAGATAAAACTAAAGTTATCTTATAACCATAACTTATTTACTGAATAGATTTAATGAATTGCTTTTACTGACAATACACTGAGTCCCCTTAAAATGACATGAAAATGCCCCTGTCTTGTTCCTTTTTCATTGCAACTCCAAGCTGTGAAATGTTGTTTGATAGGTTAAGGCGTTGATGTACACAGAGATCAAGGAGCTCCTAGAGGTGTTCCAGAGAATTTAAGTCAGGGCTTATTGTTGTTCACTCTATGGTCTCTGTGGTTTTTACTGAAAGTATTCCTTCACAATCCTGGTAGCATGACACTGTATATTACTCTGTATCAGGACAATGTCTGGTTCGAATGCACTCGTGAAAAGAATACACAACTGGGCCTAATACCACATTAATACAACATTGGACAGTTAAATCTAAGTCTACTTCATGGAAACAAGGAAATAATTGGACATTTCTTTACATTACTGTTTCCTCATGCCATAACTGAATTGTCACCAAAATGTATATATTTAACAACTCAGCATATCGTTCACTTTTGATCCTCCAGATACAACCTCATCATTTATTGGTAGAGACACAATTATTTCTGCTCTTGAGTATTGTCTTTCAGGGCAAGTATCCCATGTAAAGTGCATGAAAACACCTACACTTCGTATAATTTTTAGTCTGCATTTTTAGCACAAAGCTACATAATGGGCCATCTGTACTATGCCCACTACGTAAAATCAAAATCTAGATTCTAGCATTGTAAATCCATAAACTTACTGTTGACCCACAGCCGAACTTACAATTGCACCCAGGTATAAATTTTCAAACCGTATTACAATACCTAACTGTCTTTTTATGTTTTGTTTTGTGTATATATACATTTATGTTAATAAAGGTTACCCAATATTTATTATAATTTTAACACCTGAAGGTAACAAAGCATGACAACTCTATCTGTTTACCTTGGGTGATATTTTAAAGCAATCTCTCAGATCATCATGTCCAGCACCTATATTTTCGAATTCTTCATCGTTTGAGCCTACAAGGCATAAACTCATATAATTTGAACTAATAAAAACTGATTTTGTCACTTCTTTCATTAATTATACCAAAACATTTTAAATTCCAGAAAAATGTAGGAATAACGTAATGGTCTAATATCTGCTAAAATATCTGTTAATGTTTTCCAACCTGATTCTCACAACTGATATAAGAATTTCAATATAACAAACTGGACTATTTTCAATTACATACTTTGCCACTTTATAAATTATACTGATAACTCTTTTACTAAACTTTATAATTGTATTACACCTACTATTCATAATAAGTACATTCCTATTAGGCCAAAGAAAGGTCATAATTGGAATTATACTTCAAGATTAATAACCGTTTAATAAACAAATGCACTTTCTCGTGTTATATATATATATCAACCTGTGACTATTCTAAGACAAATGTTTTCATAATATTTTGATCTTTTTTTAAAAAAAAAAATCACCAATGATATTTATTCCAACTCACTTTACATCACCTGATAACGATCTTGTTTCGCCGTTTTTTTTACTACTCATCTTTTTCAAGTCTAAAATATTCTTCTAAGCTGTGGCTACAATCTTAATAAATGGAAAATTCTAATATATCATTATGTTCACTTTGAAATGTATGATAAACAGATTATCACTCCTACTAACAATAATTACACATAGCTTAAGTAGTGGTTGGGTAAACAAAACTCATATTATTATCTTTGAAGACAATTATATACTTTATAATATTCGAAATTCTTCTAGTAAAAACAAACAAACTACCTATCATCTATGGTTTTAACTACATCCACCAATCAACTGTTGTAGTATTACTTCAGCATGAACAACAGTTTGATCCAGTCATTTGTAATCTCTCATTATTAAACTTACAATATTGAAATGAATATTATGTTTCCTTATCGACCGTCCTGCTCAGATCCGGGTTAATAAAGTTAAAGCTGGGTTGCATATATAACGATTTCAAAGACTGTTTGTGTTTTAGAATTATTTTCAACTTTAAACTTTCTTGGGTACTTTGTTTTAAAGAAGTAAAAATTTATATGATCCAAAGGATATAACGTAAGCTCTTGTCGGTAGCTTTTCTGACAGCACTCTCTTATCTATGTACTTGACATTTGGAAGTACGTTTTTTAGCTTATCAGTCCTACAGAATCTAGCTATTAAACTTGTTTTGTACGGTATACCTTCTTCCTTATATTTTCACTAGTTTGATACATGAGAAGGAAGACATCATCATCATGATAAAAAATAGAATATTTTCCTTATGCACATCTTTTTTTTTCAAAACTATCAACCGTAAGAGCTCTGAGAACTAACAGCAACTCTCTCTGAACTTTAGCTAAATAAAGAACCATAATATTGTATACAAATTTTTAACTTTCCCAGCTCTTTTGATCAACCTTCTCGGTTAAGTGTTAAATCTAGTTCCAAGTCACTTAATTCATTGCATAACTAAAATCTCGAAGACATGCTACTTTGCTTATTATCACATCTGTATTATTTAGATACATTTCATCTTTTAATCCCAACTGTCATCATAAACTTAATTCAAATTGTTATAGCAGACTCTTTTTATGGTGGTTACTGTAATTCTTGACTTTGGACTCCATTGCTTACCAGCGGTGAAGTTACTCACTTAGTTCTCTGTTTGGCCCGGCATGGCCAGGTGGTCAGGGAGCTCGACTCGCAGTCTGAGGGTTGCGAGTTCGAATCCCCGTCCCACCAAACATGCTCGCCCTTTCAGCCGTGGGGGCGTTATAATGTGACGGCCAATCCCACTATTCATTGGTAAAAGAATAGCCCAAGAGTTGGCGGTGATGACTAGCTGCCTTCCCTCTAGTCTTACACTGATAAAGTAGAGACGGCTAGTGCAGATAACCCTCGTGTAGCTTTGTGCGAAATTAAAAAAAAACAACAAGTTCTCTGTTTTTTAAATCAAAAAAATTCTCTGGACTATTATTACGCCACCGGAAAGAACTTGTAATGTTTATATAAATACAAAAGAATTAGAGGTAGAGTCGCATTTACAGATGTGTGAAATGTTTATTCGTATATCGTGCCTAAAAAAAAGTCAGACAATTTAATTAGTCAATGCCGTAACAGAATTAATCCGCGACTATTATCTCAATAGCTTGGCTCCTACTACTGAGTATAAATTAATTGTCTTATTATCATTTACATACTGTATATAGTTTATTGCCTATTTCTCTTGATTCTGCCTGTGATCATTCACCTACCTTTAAATGGATCTAATGGGTCAAGTGCAAGGAGTAGAGAGAGACCCTACTATAGGCTCATTATTATTGTTGAATGTTTCCTAATATCTAAAATAATTTCTTTGTAGGATATAGCTGTGCTCCATTGTCCCACGGTAGTACAGTGGTAGGTTAACGAACATACAACACTAGAATCCAGGAGTCAATTCCCTGCGGTAGACACAAAAGATAGCTCACTGTGGCTTTGCTCTAAAACAGATCTCTATTATTATGAACAGCAACACCCATTATGTTTTAGTTTCTATATCCCCAAAAGTAATTTATAAATTGATATCTAAACGCTCACAGGCAACTCGATTCATTTTTTAACAATTATATTTTGTGTGTCTTTACATTTTGAATGATGGCAGGTTGATTTTATCTTCTTTTTATCCAGTACTCGAGTTAGATATTAAGCTGAAGAACTTGGATTTTGTAACTGCGAACCATCTTCTGGCACAACAAAATGACACCAATACCCTGTATTGTGTGCGAATTTGCAAAATGGGTTTTCATTGGACAAGTTCTGGTTTATTGACAAATCCCATTATAGAAACTATGAAATGAAATATCCAATTCGATGTTATAGAAAATTACCCAATACTATAATTTAATAAATGGAACTGAGTAATCCGTGTTTTGCGGTATAAGTAAGAAAACACTGCCATCTAAGAAAATATTCAGGAATCCTATCAACATCCATATATTTTTATCAGCATGTCTGAGCATGAAGTAATGTATTCCGATGTTTCACGATGGTTAGCGCAGCGCAGTTAAACCATTATGCAGTTTTGCGCTTAACAATACAGAAACAAACAAACAACAACAACAAAAAAAACAGCTACAGTTTCGAAAACGTAGAAAATAGAATGTTGAGCACAGTTAATACATTCTATTTAGTTGTCGTGTTAGAGTTATTCTATTACTCTAATCCCCCCGGTAGGACTGAGGAAAGTTTACGGATTTACAACACTAAAATTCGGGGTTCATTTCCCCAATAGGGACACACCGCAGATAGCCCAATGTGGCTTTGCTATATTAGAAGTGGTCTGGCATGGCCAGGTGGTTAGGGTGTTCGACTCGTAATCTGCGGGTCGCGAGTTCGAATCCCTGTCTCACCAAACATGCTCGCCCTTTCAGCCGTGGGGCCGTTATAATGTGACGGTCAATCCCATTATTCGTTGATAAAAGAGTAGCTCAAGAGTTAGCGGTGGGCGGTGATGACTAGCTGCATGCCATCTAGTCTTTCACTGCTAAATTAGGAACGGCTAGCGCAGATAGCCTTCGAGTAGCTTTGCGCGAAATTGCTAATAATAATTATAATAAACTCCATTAGAAACAATATATTACTCTATCAAAAAATATATTTAATGATTTACTGTTAATTGGATGTAATAATTAGCCATATTTTAGATTATTTTGTCCAACAAAATGAAAAATGTTTTCATGCATTTGTGTGGAAATATTAGGTTGATTAAAATATATAATATGTAGAAACCGATAGGTGTCTGAATTGTGTTTTCTAATATGCATGAATATAAGTTAGGGTTAATTAATGATAATATCGATTTTTAAGGAGATAGGGGCTAATGTTATTGTTATACCATGCCCATGGTAACGGATTTTGTGTTTCACCATAGATCGCCGTGTAAAGTGTTATTAGCAAGTAGCATTCTGCAAGCTTAATTTAAACTTCATGGGTAAGTTAACGTATACTACCTACAAATTTCGCTACCAGTACCAATGGTACTACTATTAATATTATATTTATAATATTATTAGTAATAGTAGTACTCCACTACTAATACTATCACCATCACTACTAGTAGTAGTACAACTGTCTGGACCGTCATGCTCTTACATTACAGTTATTAGTGTATTAATATCAGACTATTGCTGTTTTATTTTCTCATTGATGGTTTGAAAATGTGCTCCATACCAATCTCGAAATTGTATTTATTATAGATGTTGGTATATAATAAGTTTATTTGTTATATATTATTAATATTATGATAATAATTACATATAAAATTCATTAGTGCGATCAAAAAGGTAAACATTTATTTCGATTCTTTTGAATCTCTTTTAATGCAATATTTTTAGTATATGCATTCTGTTCCACTGAATTGAGTAAATGGTTTAGCACAAGTTTCATATGGATCTGCTCCTTTATACATTTTGCGATAATATTAGTTTGATACAAGTTTTAATCACTTCTTTCTAATCAAGTGTTTGCTGTTTCTGTAAGAGTTCTTTAAATATATATTTTACTATGGTTTCTATAGCCTTAATATTTCTATAGTCGAAATATAATTAATTTCTAAATTATAACAATATTAAAAATACACCAAAAATTTGTCAGCTTAGGGTCACCTGTTTGTTAAAAGCCATTAACAATACAGGTTGATCTTAACTGTAGAAAACAGAACATTATGGTTAGTAAGAACATCATATAAAATAAATTGTTTGAGACATAGAGTTTATTGGTTTATGGAATTTTTTTGTGATTTCAAATTATATGTTTTTTCTAAATTGTTTAAGTTGAGTGAGCATGCACTTACATGAAAAAAATATATCTTAACAGAAAATGGATATAATGTACTTTATAGACCTGTGTGTATTAGTGTTTGTTAAGAGTTTTTGCCATTTCATGGTAAGACCAAAAAGCATCACAAAATGAGTCAGCTGCTATATGTGACATTCCAATTACAAGTTTTCCTGAGACAAAACATTTAAAAATGTGAATTTATCCTTTATTTTTACTCATTTCGTGAGGTTTATAAAATTCTTGCCAACTTAGAATAAAATGAGAATGCCACAGAATGTGCTGTTCCAGTGACAGCTTTTCTTATGGTGGGATGAAACAAGTTTAAAATACTTTTAATGCTTGGAGATGGCTTGAATGGGTAATGAAGAAAAACTTTAATATAAGTTTAACATAACAGCAAATGTACAACGTTTCGACAAGGTTTTTTCATCATCAGGTACAAGTAGTTTACACTGACACA